AGCACAGCCGTGGAAGCAGCAGCCGACAGCAGCCACATTACACGCATCATTATGTTGAAACGACGTTTCTCTTCTCTTCTCTTCTCTGCTCTGTTCTGTTCTTTTGTTTTCTCTCTTCTTTCTCCGCTCTTTCTCTTTCTCTCCAGCTCTATCTTCCGTATTTCACTGCCTCTGTCTCTCCGCTTTGGTTATTGATGATATGGAGACATGGACCCTAACCTCCACGTGAACCGTGGCCACAGATCGCCGCCGCTGCCGCCGTCGCAGACTGAAGCGGAGGTGCAACCCACCGTCTGGGGGTAACGCTTCACTTGACACAACGGCGTTGCAGTCGCTGCCTCTGCTGCTGCTGCTGCTGCTGCTGCTGGAGCACTCGGAACGAATCGACGTTTGGCTGCGGTCATCTGCTCCACGATCGGGGCCTTTGGTTCCAGGCGAACGAGCACCAGAGTCTCTCCCTCTCCCTTTGCCATCCCTCTTCTCATCCCAACTCTCTGTCTCTCTCGCGTGCGAGTTCATGCTTTGACTTTGAGATTTTGGGTTAAAGGTCAGCCGCAGCATCAGGCATCAGTGTCCGTCCGCCTGTCCGTCTGTCCGTCAGGGCCCCACCTACTTCTTCCACTGCGCGTGAGAGAGCATCAAGTGGCTGCTGCTGCTGCTGCTGCTGCTCAGAGGATGGGTTCCCACTCATTACAGCAAAAGTAATACCCATTAATTGGCTAGTTACATTTATGAGTATGCTCCATGGAGTAATACAACGAATGCAACTACTATCCACATTGCGGAAGATATGGGAACGATATTTGGTTGATGCACAGATCTCAGCTTAACGCCAATCGCAGCACCCAATTTCATAAAAATCGTAGATTATTCGGATGTGTGTGTCTGTTTACTCTGCTCAATCGATTGATGGGTATCCTTTAGTTCTAACACTTCCACCTGTGGGTAGAGTCTCATCTTTTCCTTCTCTCTTCAACGTTTTGGAAGCGCTTTTTGCCAATCTTTCGGTTATAAATCAATCCCCGAGGCTTTGGCTACCGTTTTTCTTGGGTTTCTGTTTCTGTTTTGGGAAGAGGTGCGAGCAAGAGGCTAACAGAATGGAGGGGAAGTAGGGAAGGGATTTTCGGTGTAATAGTAAATTATAATTAGAAAAGAGCAAAGGGGGTGACTGGAGTGCAGGAGTGGGGACTAGGTTAGGGTTAAGGCTGTCTTTAACCTGTTGAGTGCCTCGGCAGTAAATCAAAAGCCCAAAGAAGGCGATAAGCCACCGAAAAATACTAGACACAGCACACGAAGAGAATTCTCTGGAGAACTTGCTGCAGTAGAAGGAGGATAGGGACTGAGAACAGCAGACGCAGAGGCAGAGGCAGAGGCAGTGGCGTGGTTCAGCACCCCCCCACCTTTGAGCGCTTTTGCCAAATGAAATTTATGGCATATAAATTATCTCACACGTTCGCCGGACTATTGACAGCTTTAAAATAATCGTAAAAATGGCCAAGAAATCATAAAAAAAGACAGCAAAAAGCAGCAGAAACAAAAAAATAAAAATCAACTGAAACTGAAACTAAGGGAAAAAGTAAACCGAAGCGAGAACCAGAACCAGACGCGAGAGACAGAAAGACAGAGGCCATGAATGTGAATTACTATTTCAGTTTTCGACCTAAAAGCGGCTACAAAATGCGCTGAGAGAAGGGGCATGCAGGGGGGGAGGGGGGAATGGAAGGGTAGAGGCAGTGGCAGACCCAGACCCAGAGGTGGTGGCAGAGGCAGAGGCCGCGGCAGAAGGGAGAGGAGAGTTCGCTCCTCTGTCAGACAGGCGACGACGTTGCCTCCAAACCCCAAACCCCAAACCCGAAGCCAAAAGCCAAAAGCCAAGCCCCAGAATTTTGCAACAGAAATTGAAAAGTTCCCAACAGTTGGGGGGCCACTGGAGCCGCCGTCAAAACTTCCATGAGAGAGCACGAGACAGGAACAAAAGAGAGACAGAGAGACTCTATTTGCAGTGCAAAATTTTCCCATAACCGAATGGTCCCTTAACTATATCTACAGGAAAATGCAAATACATACAAAGACAGAAAGAATAAACAACAAAAATAAGTGCTCCCCTAAGCGAAAGGATACAACTGTGACAGTTCCTGGGGTGATTGCAGCACTTTACAATTCTATTCTATTTTTGGTAGGGAAATAATATTTGAGAGAGGGTTCCCTATGAAAGCTTTTCCATTCTGCTAAAAATTGCATTATATCATCAACAAGCAGGAGTACAGCAAAGCAATGGAAAGAGAACATTTGAATATTCGAATGAGAGACAATTTTCCACACGGAATAACTTTCGAATTATCTGTTGCTCTTTTCATTTTCATTTTCATTTTCTTTTATTTGTATCTTTTTCAGAAGATTCCTAAGAACTACCTACGAATACCTTTGCATCTGAATTCTAAGATGTGGATCGAGGGATTGTTATTTCTTTCGTGGGGGAATTTGAAAGTTGAACAGAATTTGAGAACTGGTTCCAAAGATCACAGATCTTTGTGGGGGCCACCGGAGAGGCTCCCGCGTCTACTCAACGCCTCATTATGCATGGCAATTTATAGGGCAAGAACCGCCCTCCCTCCCCTTCCAGAGACTAGACAAAGCCCCCTTGGACCTCCGCGGACCTTCAGCATTGTGTGGAAGGGACAGCAGCATTGCTAAATGCGGCAGCAGCTGCCGTGTGTCTACGCTTTTTGCTCCATAAATCAATGAAAGGATCCTCCAAAACGAACCTGCGAGAGACGACGACGCGGACGACGACTGATGATGATGAAGGAGGCATGCACCTTCTATGCTTCTAGTGGCAGGCAGCAGATCATAAAAAACTTGAAAGAAAATGCTTAAAAAATGGCAAGAAAATCACATTTCACGTTGAAAGGAACAGCAGCAGAAGGAGGATGCAGCCACAGCCGCATCAGCCGCAGAAGGAGGCAGTTGCAAAGGAAATATTGTTGCACAGTCGATGATCATGCCTCCTTCTATGCTGCTGCTGCTGCTGCTGCTGCTGCTGTTTGTGGCAGTCATAAATGTTGATGAACAGCAGCGCGAACTTTTGTTAAAGGCGTTGCCTCTGCGAGCTTTTGTTGCATGTGGCATCCATCCCGAAGGTACATAAAAATTGAAAAGATGCTTGCAACAAGATATGTTCCACAGAGACAGACACACAGCCAGACAGCGAGAGAGAGAGAGAGAGAGGAAAATGAACAAATGGTCAGGTAAAAAGAATAGAAAGGGGATCGCACAGCGGCTACCCTTTTAAAAAGGAGATAAATGCGAAGACAACAATTTTTTTCGTATGCACAGAAATTATGGAAAGCGTCTTATTAAGGTTGAGTTCATCAAACGAATTTCCTGTAAAGTTGCCAAATAATCCACGACATGGGACGACATGGGGACACAATGTTATATTTAAAGCTATTCCAAAAACCCTTCTAAAAATATCCTAGCCAAGAAAAAGTTCAAAGTTTAAAGCATATTTTCGGACATTTTCATTGGGTTTTCACGGGAGTGGAAAGCACAAAGAGGAGGACCTATGGCTTCCTGAACATTCATTTCTGCAGTCAAATGTTGACAGCCACCGACTCCGCCTTTTGGTCCCGGTCTTTGGGTTCCCCAGTTTATGGTGGAAAAGAAGAAGAATGGGGAGAAATATCGAGGAGTAGGAAAGTGTATGCCACTTCTCTAGGATAAGTTCTACTTGTACATACATTGAAAAGCCAAATTTGTTAATTTTCCAATTCATATTTTGACATAATTCTCTTTCAAAACAGATCACAAATTCTTTTACCCACAAATACTCTTTCTTTTTCCGATTCCTCTGCTATTGAAATTGTTTTTGAATTTAAACCTTTTCGTAAGCAAAAGTGAAAATTTGACTGAAAGTACAACAAAGGCCAAAAGGAAAAACACAAAACAGGAACAGAAAGAGGGAAAGAAGGAAGGCAAAGGAAAAGTAAGGACAGGAGGAAAAGTGGTAGAAACGGAGGGAGAGGAATACTAACTTTGACAACTGCGCAAAACTTTTTGTCGACCAAATAAAAAAAAACAAAAATATCATAGCACAAGAAAAGAGGAAGAGAAAATAAAAAAAATATAATAAAAGTCAAAATAAAAGAAAAAGCATACCAAATGGAGTCATGCGGAAAAGAGACAGGGTCCAGGCAGCAGCAGGACACACAGAGAGAAAGAGAGGGAGCGAGAGAAACACAGTCATAGATCCCTCTCACAACCCACGTCCGTAAAAAGGGTAGAGGGGTCCCCCTTTGAAAGGAAAACTAAAGTTCAAAAAGTGCAAAAAACTTTGTTCTGTTGCTGTTGCTGGCCAAAAAACGTAGCCGTTGCCATTAACCCGCTACTGTCACACAACCCGTGAGAGATTTTTAGCCCAAAGAGGAGTGTAGTTAACCCATTAATGAAGAATCCTAATGTAAAGTCAATTCTTTGAGAAGGAATTTCTAAATTAAAAGAAAACCATACTGAACATGTGAAAAAGCCATGGAAAAATCCTAAAAGAGTACGAGCAAAGCTTTTTTCAATGGAAACTCAAAGAGAAAAAACACTGTAACAAGACTTCACCTACCAAACAGGTGACGTCTTTGGTAAACTCATGGGGAAGCCTAGGAACCCCCACGTCACCCCAAATATTTTTACCGAATCTTAACAGAACACTTGAAGGATCATGTGAAGCGAGCCCTAGGAACTTTGCAGGCCTCCATAAGGTATTATGGATATGGAAATGCTTATGAGATTAGAGAAACCGAAGAAACCCATGGATTCCAAGGAACCGACCGAAGGTAAGAGGCATGGCCGAGATCCATGATGCAAGCCCGCAGGGAAACCCATACTCCCCATACTCGAATGAGCTCTACAGATGGAAAATCTCGCCACCCCCCCATCCCAGCATGAAAGATCTCCTCCTTTACGCCATATTAGTGTGTGTTTATGAGGTCTTTGCGACGGACACTTACCGATACTGTGCTGATTTGTGTGCAGTACCGCACCGAATGCCATTAGATCCTTGACCGGCGGTGCTCGGCTACTACCGAGGGCGGCAAAACCGTCGCCCAGAAATGACGCCAGCGCGACAGCCCTGAGGGGCGCTTTGGAGGCTTCGGTGAGAATTTTGTTGTTGAATATCTTGTCCGTGTGGGAGGAGGAGGAGTAGGGAGCGGTGGTGTTGGGGGGTGTATCTGGTGGTTGGGAGGCTCCTCCTTGGCCCCTTTTTGTCGGAGAGTAACGGTATGCCGCGGACAACGATTAACGGTACACGCACACACACACACACACTCGCACACACTAACGCACACACACAGCAGTGAGAGAAAGAGAGAGAGATAGAGAACGGGAACACGTGTATGGAGGGGCTGTGTGGTGCCGGCGGCAAAAAACAAAAACAAAAACAAAAATTTAGCGGCCGCCGATTGCCTTTTCTTTTTGCTTTTGCGTTATTTTGGTTTTGTTTTTTGTTTGTTTTAATAACTTTTTTCTTTTTGTTGCTCTCTTTTGGTATTTGTATTTGTATTTGCTGTAGTTGTTGTTGTTGTTGTTATCCACTTGACACTTCTTATGCCTTCTGCTTCCTTTCTTTATTCCTTTTCCATTAGCTTTACACTTGAAAAAAACTTTTTATATTCTCTCTGGGGCGCGCCGATCAAAAAAAAAAGAGTAGAACCAACGGTAAGCAGTGCACGGGGCATTCGATCGATCGCGACGAAAACAGAAAACAGCTGACGCGAGAAATTTCTTGGAGCTAACGGACTTTGCGACTCTGTTTCTCGCTTTTTGGGGGGCGGCTGCTGCGGCGGCGGCTGCTAACTGCTGCTGCTGCTGCTGCGTTTCAATGTGCGGCGGTTCGTGCGCTTCACGCGAACTCCAAAACAAAACTGTAAACGGCGACGGCACTGCAGTGTGGTACGCGCTGCGGCTGCTGCTGCTGCTGCTGCTGCTGGCAGGCAAAACGCACGCAAGTCGTCGTCGGCTCTTCAGACGACCGACTCGTTCGAGGCAACCGAACGACGAAAGCAACGACGAATGGCAGAGGCCGCCTAGTTCAACCAAAGAGTGAGACCGCATGCGCGCACTCACACGGGCGCTCTCGCTCTCCAAGGCAAACACTCAGGCCAGAGTGAGACAACTGGCTACCGCCGCCGGTCTGCTGCCATCTGCTGACAGCGCGCTTTGCTGCGCTGCTATGGTCTGCTCGCTGTTGCTGTAGCTGCTGCTGCTGCCACTCAATGCCGCTGCCTACACGAAATAGCAATGGAGTCAGAAGAGCAGTTGCTGACATTTGTCGCAGTCGCAGTTGACTTTGGGCTGCGGTTAGAGGGGGCGTTGCTAAGCAACTGGTTTTTTCGGTCTCATCGACGAGACGATGCGCAGTGTTGGCTGCGGGGGCGGGAGCGGTGGCAGTGGCGGCGTAGAGAACTTTTTTACTTCGGGGGTCGGGCTCTGGCAGGAGGAACCAATGGCATTTTTCAAAGTGACATTTGTTCGCTTTTTGCTTTTGCTTTTTCTGTGTGTTTTCTGTTTTTCTTTTTTTTTTGTGTGTTGTTTTGGTTACAGTTTCTATCTCGCTCTCGTCTCCCTCTCTCTCTCGCGCACACACCCTCAAGGTAAAATGTCAAATGCTTTTCGACTGTCAACTGTTGGTCGCAAAAAAAAGTTTTCTTTACTTTTTGTCTTATTTTTTTTGTTGGTGTTGTTATCCTTAGGAAAACTTTTGCTGTCTCTGTTGGCAGCCTGCAATTGTCGCTGGGGCCACTTGTCGTTAGCAGCGTCGAGTCGCTGGCAGAGCGTCGACACGGCTGCGAGGGACACGGACGCACGCCCCTTTGGCGATTCGGAGCCGCCGCTCTGCTCTTCTGCTCCTCTGCCACGACCTCTGCTACTGCTCTGCTTTTATGTGTGCATTTTGTATGCCGGTTGCGTGGTTCGCATTTCGCATTCAAACGGGACATGGTAATAAGCCAAAGATCAAGCGCAATAAAAATGAACGCAGGAACGAACGAACGCAAAGAAAGAAAGATACCAAGAAGGAGAACAAAACAGAAGGAGTGAGAAGCAGCAGCAGCAGAAACGAGAGAGAAAGGGAGACAGAATATGGCAGTGGGTGGCGCCCTCTCAATGCTTTAGACTTCTGGTTCTCTCACGCTCTCTCTCACTCTCGGGCTGCCAGCAGCGACAGGCAGCATCTTCTGG